AGCAGTAGGCATGAGCTTAAATGGGCTCCAAAGGATGGTAGAGGACAGGAAGGCCTGGAGGAACGTTGTCCATGGGGTCGCTATGGGTTGGACTCGACTTCACTACTAACAATAATAACAAAGATTAAGAAAGATTGGTCTAGTTGCCCTGAATCAACCATTTAACACTTTTGGCCTGGATGATTGAATCTTCATTGACATACCTCAAGACACTTTTGTCATCTTAAACACTAAGACATTTATTATGGCATGACATTGTATGGACTGCAGTCCATTTCATCAAGATACATAAAGTATTATCCCAAGAACAGTCTTTTTAGTTAACCACAGTTCATAAGGCGGGGTTGTAGGAGAGAGAGGAATAGTAAACAGAGAGCATGAAGTGTTTTTTTTAAAGTGTGCTTTAAAATAATGGCCAGCAGAGGTTGACCAGCCATTCATTAAAAAGAGTTTCCAGCTCACAATGAGCAGTTTTATCAAAGCCAATGCATTAAAAAAAAACACCAGCCTGATAAAGTGCTACCTTTAGCTTTGAAATCATCCTGAAAAGGAATGTTTTGATTTAAATTGCAAGTGGAAAGTTAAAATCCTCTTAAATAAAACTGAAGAGTCTACAAGTTCTCTTTTCCTCTCCAAGGTCCTCGGTCACATACATCATGTTATCCCTTCACTCACTTATCAAAAAGCAAATGCCCACCCATTGCCAGAAGCTCTGACAGATGACTGGCTTGTTCTCGCGGGTTCCAAAGAGTTAGATGTGAAATCATAGGAGACAGATTCTGGACTGAATTTCAGAACACGTTTCATAACAGTAAAGAGCAGCAGAAAGAATGACCAAGAGGCCTCACCATCGCTGGAGCTGTCCAAGGTGAGGCTGGACAGACATCTGTCAGGAACACTTTAATCTTGGTTCCTCCAATGAACAGGGTTGACCGAGAAGACCTTAAAGAGTTTGTGAAAGTCCATGATTCCATCCAGGCGCTTGAGAGCATCACGTAGACATGGTCTCCTTCTTTAGCTTGGAATAAAGTCATTCATCTCCAACAGTTTTATCCCAGTAGAGAGTTTTCAAGTGGTGCACAGTGAGTTTGTTGGTGGAGGCTTCTGCTACCCACGATTTCAGTTCATTTTCTCATGTGCAGAAAAGCAAAAAGTGTTTGCATGAGTAATTTAACTCCCCCATCCCCTGTTTCCACCTCTTCAGCCCTGCCTACTGGCTCTTAAGTCACAGAACATCCGTACCACGAAAGTATGGTGTAGCTCTTCCATGCCTTAGGAGTTAAAGCGAGGTGTGATGCTAGCACCTTTCCTGTTGAGATCTTTCTTTGGCTCAGTGGCATCCATAACTTTGGCTCCCTTGAAGTCGCTTTTGCATTCTTATGTACCTGACAACAAACCAAAGCTGGCATCAGTGTGTTCTCCCTGCCACGTAGCTGAACCGCCGAAGAAGTGTCACTTCAAGTTGCTTCTCCCAACCAAGGAGCGCAAGAGGAGTGAGCCTTCGATCCATTCATTGGGCGTTGACATCATTTCCTGCCAGAATGCTACTTCCTCTTGTGTAGAATCCATCCAATCAACAGCAATTCCATAGCTGAAACCTGGCCCAAAACAAGAAGCAATAAAACACTTTAGAAATGGTGGTCTAGCAGCACACGAATCCAACTCCCAAGCATTCTCCTTTGTAGGTCCAAATTAGGCAAGGCCCCACTTGTGTTCTGAGTCATGGATGGATTTTGTAAAATAAACAAATTGCCATGGGCGTTGCAAAAGGGGCAGAGGGTGGCTGTCTTAAATCCCTGACTCCACTTTCGCTAAGCTGCCTTAGTGTTCTATTTGCATTGGAAAAACCTCCAGCACTCCAGACGTGCCAAATCACTACTCAACTAACCTACCCTGACTTGCCTCCCCATCTCTTAACCAGCTTCTCTTCCTCCCCACCCTTAAAAGAGACTTGCCTCCCCATCTCCAGACCTGCCCTAAATCTAAGTCATTTCAAAATTTGTGTAACTCATAGAAACAAATTTAGTTGAAATGTATTGGTTTGGATTGGATTGGTTTGGTTTGGTTTGGTTTAGGCGTGGCACGACAAAACCGCGCTCGTCAAAATCACGGTGATAAAATCGCAGCGCTAAAGCCGCGATGTCATCACCGCGCGTCATCACCGTCGCGACAACAGCGCGGCAACAGAAGGGCGCTTTAAAACGGCGCCACGGCAGAAAGCTGACTTCAATTAAGGTAAGCGTTAGCATTAGGTTTAGGGGTTTGTTTTAGGGTTAGGTTTAGGGTTAGGGTTAGGTTTAGGGTTAGG